TATTTTTTTTTTTTTTTTTTTTTTTTTTTTTGGCTACCTGCTCACCGCGGCAGTCATCATTAAGCGTAAAATTCTGTCTAAACAGTTGCAAAAGGAGGGGTAAACGAAAGGTTTTAAAAAATATTTGTAAGTCGCAGGGCATGTAACTGTGCCTCTTTTTTTTTTTTTCTTTTTTCCTTTCTTCGCGCTTGAGGACTTCATAGAGCACCCAGCTAAAGAGATTCACAAACACTCGGCCATCCGGCACGACAGCATTCCTATAAATGCATATACTTGTCAACATATGTAAGAATGTACCTCTCTTGGGGATCTCCCACAAGAGGAATTGCAAACATTTGGACTCTGTCACTGCATAAGAGGCAGCCTTTCCCGGTGAGCCGAATTGCATTATTCGCAAGACAGAACTAAATGGGGAAAGTGAACGAGAGAAGGGTGGACAGACACATCATATACCACATTTCCCAAAATCGTCACACACCTTACTTGCCTTTTTTCCCTTGCTTAAATTTTCGACAAAATTACATAAAAGAGGTTATAAAAAAAAAAAACAGCACTCAGGGGTACCATTTTGTCACTGCCCACGATGAGGAAGTTAATTTGGTTAAGCACTTGTACACAGGGAAACAAAAAAGGGAATAAAAAAGACCCTAACTACAATGTGTTAAAAAAAAAAAAAAAAAAACATGAACATTTTAAAATTTGCGATGATTTAATTGGGTGGAAAAAAAAAATAAAAAAAGAACAAAAATATATTATGAATTAAAGGGGAACCAAAAGTAACAATCTCATGCGAAGATGTGGTGCGCATTCACCGATTCCACGGTGGCCATGGTTGACCAGTGGCTGCCTCACAGGAGAGGCTGCGCGAGGTCGGCATTCCGTGGGCTTTTGTATGCGCGCGCGTTCCGCTTCTTCTTGAGATAAATGGTGACAATTAAAGAAAGGATAAGGCTGATCACCAGGATGACGAAAAAAAAAAGTACATACAGACCCTTTAGGTACTCTGCGAGGAAGGGGTGGGGGAGGGAAAGCATGCACATGTGTGAATCTGCATCCATATGTGTACACATTTATTTACAAATATTGCGTACACACAAAAATTCCGCGTAAGGAGAGGAGGGAAGCCAAACTAGAGCCTGGCCCCTCGGAGAAAATTGAACCCTACCTTCTTTAATCAAAAAACAACCAAAAACGTAATTATTCAAACTTATTATTATCATCGTAACCAACTCGAAAAAGGCAAAGGCTGAAGTTATATCTTCATTATTCTTCACGCTATATAGTATTGCGGCGGGATGAAAAAAGGGGAAAATGTGATGAGATCTAAGGGTGATATGGGATGGGGGGGGGGGCACACATTGCATGTAGATATGTCCAGACGGAAGTTTACTCTCACGTAAAAACGCATCCTCCAACATACCACAAATGAGTAGGGATCTGAGAAATGATAACCGTTGGGATGATAGACTCGCTGATGCCTGTTCGGGAAGGAAAAAAAAAAAAAAATGCCCATTTTGCGAATGTGCTTTATGCTTATCAAAACGGGGGGATAACAAACGGGGGAAAACGCTTTCCCCCAAAGGGACACTCGCTACGTTTAGCATCAGGGACAGCCTAATTCTACACTTCTCTCCTTTTTAACCTATGAGGTTGAAGAAGAGAAAGGCCAGGGCTTCCGAATCTGAAAATGGTGAGTGAGGGTGAACGTGAACGTGTTAAGTACTCAAAAATGCAAAGTGGAAGTGACCGTGGGGAAAAAAAAAAAAAAAAAAAAAAA